AAGGATGGGATGCTCTCTTTTTTATTGCTATTTTCCTTAATTGTGGTGTTAAGGTCATCATTAAGATTTCTGTCATCTTTGTGTTTTTATAGTCATGTGTATTTAGTGAGTATGCTTTTCGAACTAGTGTTTCGATTCGTACTGCTATTTGCTTGATGGTTTCGTTTGGTAATCTGCGAATTTCATTACATAAAACTCTTTGTTGTTGTTTGTTTCTTTCGGAGTCAAACATTTTTGAAAATTCTTGTGTAAATCTTTTCCAGTTTGATTTTATTTCTAGAGGTAGTACTGAAAACCATTTTTGGGCTGCGCCATCTAAGGTTGTTTGTATCAACGCTGTGCGTCGATGTATCCAGTTTTGATGTAGTGGCGTATTAATTGGTTCAGGTCCAATGTTTAAAATCAGGTTTGCTGTTACTGCATTTAAATAATCTTCTACAGAATATTCAGGGTCTGTTCCTGTGAAAACCATTAAAGGTTTGTTTGATGTTATTGATGATCCACCCATAAGGTATGGATTCATTGTCATTTGTAATGATTCTGCTGCATTTGGCATTTGAGAAAAATTTGAAAGTTGGTTTCTTGTTATTTCATGTTGTTGAAGATAATATGGGAGTGGTATTTCATTTTGCATTTGTGATGGTTGATACGAGTGTGCAGTCATTGGATTTTGTTGTTGAATTGGTTGAAAAGATTGTGTATTAATTGGATTTTGTTGTTGAATTGGTTGTTGATGTTGTGCATCTATCGGTTGTGGAGAAAAATTCCTATGATTTGTACGTGTTTTCTGTATTCCTTGTCTACGATATTCTTGAGTATTTGGTGCAAATATATCTGGTTGTAAGAAATCATCATCTGAGGATAAATAATCCATTTGGTAAGATGTTTGTTTTTTACTTTTATTTTGTTGAAAAAATGGGTAATTTTCACTGCGATCCTGTGGAGGATTTGGTTGAAAATTTTTGGAATTATATTGGGCCGTTGGGTTATCCCAGTTTCGAGGTTTTGTATGTTGATTAAAATTCCTTTGTGGTTGATAATTTGTTTTTGACGGATGTGTATAATTATAATTATGGTCTGCAAAGTTGTTTCTAGTGAATGTTTTGCGTGTTTTTGATGGTATTGTCATGGGTCTGTATGTTTGGTAATCCATATGTGAATATTTAGGGGCAACCGAAGGTTTAACGGTTGATTGTAAGGTTACCTGTGTTTGTGAAGGATTTGTATTTCTTGGTGTTGTTAAATTTGGGCGTATTGGTGAAATACTTTGTTGTGTAGTTGTTGTGTGTACAATTTCTTCATTTATGAAGTGTGATGGTGTCTGGATATCTTGTTGAGTAAGATTCCTAGTTCCATTGAGGTTTTCGTTGTGTATGACTGTGGAGTTTAAACTATTATTTTGTGTATCGGGTAAAAATGTATTATAGTTTAATGGTGTTGCATCAATTGTTAATGGTATTACTCTTACATAGTCTCTTATGTAAGATATCGTACTTATTGCTTGACTTGAGATTGATTGTGGGAAGCTTATAAATGCGGGATGAGACCATTCGGGGTCCCAAACATAATCTGATTGTTCTGTGATAGCGGTATCATCGTTCGAGTTTTGGGGTCTAAAATTTTTTCTTGCTTGTGCAATTAAATCAATATTATGTGTGAAATAATCTATTATGAACCATGCCAAGATTTTTTGTAAATCGTGTTTGGTATGTTGTGAAACGTCGTCTTTCGTGAAATTTTCTTTAATGATGTTTAAATAACTAGAGAGTAGTGTGATTTCATGTCGTACTCTTAAATGTTTAGATGTTTCTGTCGGTGAGACATTTGTTAATGGGAGTTCATTTTCTAATATCGAAATATAACTATATATTATTGCGAAAACTTCATTGGTGAAAATGGAGTTTGCTCTTTGTGAGTTATGGTATTGGATGCTTTTTATATATTCTAAAAAAACTTTTGAAAATTCTAAATCAAGATCGTCTGTTTGAATAGTATATGTTCTATTATTATGGTTTGGGGAAGTGAATTCTATAGAGTAGATTCCATACTGTTGTGTTATGTTGCATATATCTTTTAGATAGTGATCTATGATTTGTCTTTTGATTTTTACATCGGGGAACTCTGTTTTACATGGACTAATTCCGGGTTCAAATAAATTTACGAGTAAATTTTGACAAAATATGTGTTGTCCTCTATCGGTATCTGCATCTACTATAAAAGGAAAGATTTCATCATCATCTGGAGTTTCTTCACCTGGAGTGTGCGTTGAGCTCATTTTTTCGTTCGATGACTGTTAATATGTAATTATTAATGTGTCGAATTGGTTGATTCCAATTGTATAGATGTACTGGTTTGTGTTTGTACTGTTTTTTTATTCTTCTTTTTCCTCTTTGTGATGAATTTGAAGTTGTTTCTGAGTCAGAAAAATATAATTGATCGTGAAGTGGGTAATTTTTATCTATTGATTCTTTTAGTTTGTAAAGTTCGTCTAAACTGTTGGTTTCTGATTCTGAAAATGCGTTTCGATTTTTTGAAAATCTTTTTCGTGTTATTTGTCTTTGTTTAGTTATTATTTTCCTCTTTAGTGTTTGTCGTTTTGTTCGAATGTATCCAACTGTTTGTGTATGAGGTGTGATTACAAGGTCGTATTTTTTGTTATCTATTTCACAATTGTGTAAAACGATTGTTTGTTTATTTCCTAGGTTTTTAAATGACATAAGGTTTAGAATGACGGATGCAAAGGGTTGTTAAATGATTTCTATTTTCCTAAACTGTTAGTTCTTACGATTTTTTGGTTAGCTTAACCTGGGTCTATTTGTTCAGGGTTGGAGAGAAAAGTATATCGATTCCGAAGAATGATTTTTACTTTCTCGTGACTAGTATAAGCTAAGGTGTTAACTTACTTAATCTTACTTAGGGGTAGTGATTGTGTTCAAGGGTTGGAGAATAGTAAATCGATCCACAAGGTTCAGGTATAATTAGAACGCGAGTAGTTCGTTAGATACTATTTTAAACTTACTAAGTCTAAGATTTATCCTGGGTCTGGTAAGAGGGGGGGTCAAGTGAAGGATGAATAACCGAAGTTCTTCACTATTTATCCTAATTTGAATGATTAGTTTTGTTTAAAAATTTCTATTAGTCTTGGGTCTTTAGAAAGGGTTGGGTAGTGAATCGACGTTTGAGGTCGTTAGACACTAATTAAGTGGGTGGGGGAGAACAAAGTTGTTCTGTTTGATCCAAGGATAAGCCTTGATGATCAAGTTTGAAATTTAATTAAGTAGAAAATGATTTAAGATCCAAGGATAAGCCTTGATGATCTGATTTTAAATTAAGTGACTTTAAGTTTTAATAAAGTTTTAAATTTGTGTAAAGGAAAGATTTAGTGTTTTATGATGTTAGTGAGTTGATGATTGCTGTTATGTTTTAGGTGATGAAGCTGGAACAACAGGATGATTTATGATTACTAACCATTTATTGTCATGCTACTAATTTTTATTTTTATTTTCCAATAAATATTTTTCAAACATGTTTTGTATAATACTGCAGAGTTTTAGGAAAACGATCTTAGATCTTTTTATCAATCGTTATTGTATAATATTAATTTTGTTTAGCGCCTGAAATGATTTTGAAGAGTAACTTCAAGGTTTTATGTTTGCAAATGGAAATCTAAATTCATTGCAAGTAGTATTCGAAATATAAAAGTTTGTTCTGGCTTTTGCCGAACTATCATATAACTATACGGCAAGTTTCTACTTTGTCGTATGTCGTCTTTGGTTCGAGGTCTTCTTCCAATTCCGGGTAGTTCTGTTATGGTTCGGAATATTGGCTCTGATCTATTGAGTCGGAGAGACATTTCAATTAAATTATTGTCGTATAACATTTTGTAAATGTTTTTGTCTAATTTCTAATCTATTTTTGGTTAATTCTAATCTAGTAAGGTCTTGTTCGAGACTTATGGTCGCACCAGATGAGTTAGGACCGAAGTGTAACTCATAGAGTAATTTCGGATAGGGTACACCGTCTGCTCGTCACGCTATCTTATTTTCGGCCGGATAGATTCGTGCAACTTCTTAGTCTAATACCGATCCTAATCTTACTCTTATACTATCTAGTCTCAGGTTGTTTAACTAGTCTCTGCTAGGCTCAATAGATCTAGGGTATACTGGTTTATTGCGGCTGCTGAAGTGCTCGGGAGAGTCCAACTAATTTCTAAGTTAAATTCAAATCTCTCTGGTGCTGAAATTACAAGTAACTTCAGCACTTACAAATAAGTGGGTTGTTAGTTAGATGGATCATGATTGGTTAATATTAAATACTTTACATTGGTAAAACATTTAATTTATCCAATCATAAAATATAGTTTAGATCAGGTTCCAATTTGTTCAGCTGTGATGGCTTAAGCTCGATTTCCTTACGCTCGACTCAAGCCGTAATCAAAAAGCTACTGCAGATAGGGGGTATAGCTGAGGTGACCGTTTGATCACGGTCAAAGTAATATTTTTGTCGACATTTTGGGACCAAGTTAACATCCCCCCCCCCCCAAATCCGGTTAGGGGGGAGGATGTTAAATTGGTTCTGAGCTCGAATTATTAGCCAATCAGAATAGAGCTTTTTACATGCAGCGCTAAGTAGATTTAAATTAAAAAGTGGAGCGATGTTGACTTTGATCCACATTTTGCATCAAGTTAACAGTTAACAATGGGGGTTGATAAATGGGGGGACCTCAGACGATAAGCAAATTAGACGGAGGTACTTAAAAGGAAATTAGACGGTTTTGCAAAACTGCAATTGTGAGAAAATAGACGAAAGTGAGAGAAATTAACCTCGTTTGCACACAAATTGCGTTAGAAAAATAAAATTTCCGAGACCCCGTTAACAATAACTTAACATTTACTTAACATAATTAAACATTTACCAGTAGATGTCCATAATGTAGCCGGAAAATAAACATTTTAGAGCGTAAACACCCAAACTTTGCGTTTAATTTTGTCGATATTAAGATTCGATGACAGTGATTATAAATTAAGTTGAATTTATTCAGTTAGGTTCATTGTACGCTGAAATGCGCAATCCAGCCTCTCCATGCTCTCGGATATTACAGAGAAGATACATAGTCGTGGGTTGCTTCTGTTTATTGATTTTTCTTCCATTATTTTTACCTTCTATTTCAGACTTTACTTTTTATTTTGAGAGAGCACAGTTCACTAAATCAGATCTCTTCGGCTTGTGTACCGACCAACTGACATTTTGCATTCCGGGACTTCAAAACTTCACCGTTTTTCCCATCCGTGAGTATATCCAATTTGGTACTATACTATGATAGAGTGATCCGTCGAAAAAGCAACTTTGCGATAGACAGGTCCCACATGCATTTCGCATGTTATAATTTTGAAAACTATGTGTATAAATTATTCATTTCAAAAAATCTTGCAAATTATGTTCAGCCAGAAACTTTTCAGATTGAAATTGGTAGTTACCCGCACTGACAAATAGGGTTTCGGATTTTAAACCGAGGCAAATCGATTAACAATGTACATTTTACGAACTTAAATGGATTTTAAATCGATTTAAATTGAACTTTTTTGGAAAATTTAGATCAATTTAAGTGTCTAACAATCGATTTAAATCGTCTTGGATGGATTTTCAGACTCACTAAAATCAATATTTTTGCTAACACGGCAAAAAACATACTCTTCAGAATCAAATTAAAATATTTAATTTTCAATTTTTATATAAAAGCTCACATGCCAGATTTAAAGAATTCAAAAAATGATATACATATATCAAAGTTTAAGCTCGAAAATATGCCATGAAATCATAGAAAATTATTGTAAATCAGATTATGGGAAAATCCTATGGAACAAACAAGAAAAGAATCAGAAAAAAATTTTGATCTCAATAAAATGCAATTAAATCATAGGAAATCATGAATGTAAATCAGATTGTGAGTAAAAACTTAGGAAACGAAATAAGGATCAGTTTTTGAACTCAAAATATGCAAGGAAATCATAGAATTTTATCGATATTTTGGTATTTTTATTTGGTCTTTTTTATGCTACAATACGCTATGGGTGTAAAATGAAAAAAAAAGATCGGCAACAAATAAATGCAATTAAAACTTAAAACTGATGAAACTCGAATGAAAAAAAAAACTAATTATATCGATTCAAATCCGTTTTAATCCCCTCAAAAACAAAAACAAATTCAAACTGGAAAAAACGGATTTAAATTGATTTAAAATTGATTTGGATCAATTTTTGTAGCTGGGTTTTACAGTCAATTTAAATCAATTTTCAATCGATCCAAATCAATTTTTAGTTTTTTTTTTAATATTTGTACTTTTTTCATGCTAAAAGTGATCTAAGTTTTTTCAAGATTTTTTTTCATACTAAAATCGATTCTAATCCTTTTTTGTCAGTGCGGGTAATTTATTGCTTATATAAAAAAAATTGTTCGCTTCTGTTTATTTTACAGTTTAACAAACATAATTGTGTTACCTTATTTGTCATCAAAACTCATTTTTGGCGTTTTTTTTTTCAAATTTTCTTCTCAAATGGCGAGGGGCGAAAATTTACGAAGTAAACAAAACTTTACGATATTGAAGAATTTGAGAGCTTTAGGTGTCTTATTCTCAAGGGACCTGGTTATTTTGAAGGGACCGCTCTATCATAGTAGCACCTCCAATTTTTATATTATTTCCTGGTAAATTTGCCCGACTCAAAAATTGAGTGCAACATTGCAGCCCGACTGCGGAATTGAATTTCGGTCGAGCCATCCTTTTGCGGATGACCGTCTATTCGGGTTAAGTAGCAGTATTTAGACAACCGCGTATTCAGACTAGTCAGTAAGCAGACAAATGCTATAGAGAGTTGCAAAAAATTCGACAGACAGAACTAATTAAAAAGATCAATTGTCTAGACGTCACGGAATACTCTTATTTTCAACGTCGAATAAGAGTATTATACAACGTCGAAACAATAAACACAACGTCGAAAACAATAAACACGACCAAAGCTAAAACAGGACTGCTCGTATCAAGGCGAAGCCCTGAATTTTCCGACTGCCTCTTAAGGTCTATGGAGCAGTAATAACATGAAGAAATAAAATGTAATAAATAAAAATGAGTTTTTAAAAAAAAAAAGAATTTTTTTTGTGAAATTTATCCTTCCACGCGCCATATAAAGTACAAAGTGATAGAAGTTGCTCATATTAACAAATCTATTTTGGCAAATAAGCTTCCTTCGACCAATTTGGAATGATTTTTAGGACGGAATATTTCTTCGCTTACGCGCGTTAATTGTCCCAAATTGGCAAAAATTGCAATCTTTAAACCCCCATAACTTCACAAAAATTAATCACAGATGAAATATCTTTTCAAATTTAAGCTCAGGACAAATATATTTTTTGAATGGTGTAAACAAATTTTCCTCAAAGATAGTTAGTGAAAAAGTCGAAATGTGTCTGAAGAAAAAAAACCACCTGAGCACAAATATTCCGTTACTTTCGTTACGAAAGTCGAAACAATAAACACAACGTCGAAAAATCATTAAACAGAGTTTCGCTCAAAATCAATAACCACGGCGGGCAATTGCATCCGAAGCGTCGAATAGTAAACCTGGAAACAGGAAAATTATTGCTCAGGTTTGCTTATGTTTTTCTGCGATTAGTTTCCAAAATTTGAATGATTCGATCATATTCACTTCCGTTTGTTTTTTATGGGGCGGAATATTTTTTTGTTGATAATAACTCTAGAGTTTGATTTTTCAACTTATTTTACCAAACGTTTTATAGTAAAATCTGCATGCTCATCGCAGTATTTAAAATATAGGCTAGCATAGTCATAGGATAACCGTCAATCTCGCATTTTGAATTTGGCTTGACAAAAAATTCAAGGTTATTCGGCTTCACATTTTGCATGCAAAAAAATGTCGAAAAGTACTGATTGCTCATTTTAATTAATTCTGTCTGTCCGATTCTTAGCTATTAATCATATAGTAACCAATCAGAATCGAGACAAGAAAGAAATTAATCATACATAAATTTTTATTTCATTAAAATGCTTGCTCATCTCGATTCTGATTGGTTCGGAGGTCTATTCGCAACAAATTTTTTGAAATTTTGTCGTTTAACCTCAAATTTTTTTTTTCAGCGGAACTCAGAAATGTTAAAATAATTGACTGATGTAAAATGTGTACTTTGGCGTCAGATTGAATCCCGCTCGGGCAATTTATTTATTTATTTTTTAAATTTAAATTGCTCGACTTAAACCAAAATTTTTTAATTTAAATTGAGCGGACTCGTAAATTACATTTATATAAATTGAAATTAATTTAAATTGGTGGTAACATTTACCGGACTTTTTTCAAATTTTTGCTTTTGTAATTTAGAGCATCTAATCAGCTCCGCACTATGTGATCACTTGTGGGCGTTTGATTTTTGAAAATCTGTCGGTTTTCAGAACATTTTTTATTTTTTCATCAGAAATATTTAAATTAAAGCGCCATCTCTCTGATTAGTTCATTTCCTCCATTTGCTCAGACATAGTTAGTTAACCACAAAAAAATAGTTATTGAACTAAAATCCGGGCCTGCTGTTAATGCAAAATTTAGCAGACCGACCTTAAAAATCAACAATGTAAAGCACAAACGCCTACATGTGCGATTGATTTTGTACTTATGTCAGGTGGGCAGTCAATGGGCAAAATCGTCTAAAAGCAGAAAGGGTCTAAGAGCAGAAAAACCGACAAATATTGAGCCAAACGGGTTAATGGAATAAAACAATTACTAGAATCAACAATACTACCAGAGAACTGAACAAATTATACATTAAGAATGACCGAATTATACATTAAGAATGACCGAATGACCAAATGAACCATGGGCGAAAGACCAAAAACAAAAACAGTCGAAAGTCAATTACTAAATTGAATGAATTGCCGTTCAGCTAAACTGAATTAAATGAAATATTATTTTGCTTCTTTTACAACAAAATCCTTGAAACACAAAGTTTTTTTCAAATTCGCCGGGGGTCAGTGACAATTTGAAATTTTGCATATTTCTGCCGTTTTTATATTCGGACAATATTAATATGAATTCCCTGGAAATGTTATAACTTATATTGAATTGCGTTATAACTTATATTGAATTTATGCAGACTCAAAGCAATTAACGCTGACTTCAAAGATGGCATCGTCGAAGTAGCGACCGCGTCGAATTCCCATAGGTTTCATACGTTCACTAGGGTGTCCGGCAAATGAAACGACAGCTACTAAGACGACAACCGGGCCGATCCTTAGGACGATACTATATTTGATGTTTTATCAGCGTATTTAAGGGCTGGGGGACGCTCTCTTTCTCAGGGATTCGATCCCTTGCCGACCCAAAGGGTCCCCCCTTTGAACCATTCGAGTAAATCCTAGATCCGCCCTTGTTCTAGTAAAACGGAAAGTAACCAAGATGTTTTATTGGTAATTTCATTGATTTCATTTGTTGAAACGCTTTGGTGCTCAATTTTTGCTTGAACCCAAAATTTTTGAAAACTTGAACATTTTTCCAATAGTTGTTTTTTTTCCTGATATTTTTAAGAGAAAACCCAGTATGAGCTGCACCTTTTGGCGTTCAATTTTTTCACGCACACTACACTTTTATTCATCATTTTTGGAAGTAAATGCGTGTTTTTTTCGGTTCTTAGTAATCCTTACGAATAATTTGGGTGTAATTGCATTTGAACTGTCTTCAAAAGAAAATTCTTGATCCATTTTTATGCATACCACCGCTGGTCTTTTGACTTTATCCGTTATCATATTATTTATCTCGTCATGTAGTGGGGGGTTCATGGTCAGTTGCAGTGAATGTATTTGTTGGATTAGGTTTTCTGCTTTCGACTTTTGTTTTTAGTAACTTATATGGCTTTGATACGTCTTCTCTTATTTTCTGATTCGTCCTTACCCACCGTGGAGTTATTGGCAAGATTTTCAGAAAAACGTTCTTGCTCTCTTTCCTTGTTTCTCTATTTAGGACTTTTCGAAAATAACGGAATATTTGTGCTCGGGGTGGTTTTTTTCTTCAGACAAGTTTTGATTTATAACTAGCCTTTTTTGACAAAATTTTTAAATCATTCAAAAGTTATTGCTCTTTTATGCTTAAAATGAAAAGATATTTTATCTATAATCATTTTTTGCCAAATTATGGGAGTTCAAAAAGTGCCTAATAACGCGTAATCCGTCCTCGAAATCGTTCCAAATTGGTTGAAGAAGCTTGTTTGCCATAATTGATTTGTTGTTAGGAACAAGGTCTACTTTCTTTTCGGGGCGATGACTTTCTCAAAAAATGTCAAAATGGAAAAAAAAATTTTAATTTTTTTTTACAATTGAATTTTTCATGTTATTACTGCTCCATAGACTTTAAAAGGCAGTCAGAACATGCATGGTTTCGCCCTGATACGAGCAGTATGTTTGTTTTTGTTGACGATTCTCTTTTTGTGGTTTTTTCTTGATAATTTTCTGCTGAATGTTTTGTCTAATGCGCTTTTTGATTGGCGAGATTTTTTATTTCGGATTAGCGAAGTCGTTGTAAATTGTCGTTTCAAAATCGATGATTAGTTTGTTGTACTTGAGTTGTTCCTAGTTGATTACAAACTTCAATCTTCATTACTGCTGTTCCGTTCAAACTTAATTTAACTTAGTAGCCTTTTTTAAGTTGCTCATTTTTGGAAAATTCATATGATTGGTTTTATCTCTAACTTTTGATGGTGCTTGTTTCCTTCAGAGCCCAACGTGTTTGAAGGATCTGGAGTCATTTTTCCTGTTTTTTTAATGTTATAACTGAGAGTTTTTCATGAGTTGCGTCTTTTAGGGTTGAATATATTGCTACTTTTCTACTATCAAGCCAATTTTATGTAAATGCGTGTTTTAAGGTTCTGCTTGTATATTCAACCTTAAATTATCTAGAATTGCAGTTTTCTTCAACGCCGTTTTACCACAACGCCGTTTAAAAATACCAGTATTTCTTGTTTTATGCTATCCTTGATCATCTATCTCATCATAGTGAGTGAGTTCAGGGTCATTTGCAGTGAATATGCGTGCCCGTACCCAGCGGAGGCTGTTTTCTAGAAATTTTCTATCGATTTTTCAGCAAAGTTTTCTCGTATTTTATGTGCAGAAATGATCTATTTCTTTTCTAGTTTAGAAAAAAAACAGTTTCTGGCGAGGAAATACCAGAAATCAGTTCGCTGCTCAACCGCACGAGATAAACATACTTCGAGTATACACAATAACAGTAGCAATGCAATGCAAATTAACGCAGTATTACTTTGTATCATGTTGCTAAAACTATTAATCTTCATCAAATCTTGTGGCCTAGTTGTTAGCACAACTGCCTCGCAGATTAAAGATCGGGGGTTAGAGTAAAAAAATAGCCTAGATTTAGCTACTTTCTGATCAGAAATAAGATAAGAAATAAAAAATGTTGTAAGAAATTCCCTGCTTCATTTAAATATTTAATTAAGAATTTTGATTAGATTAAAAGTATTTCCGGCCAGAAATAGAGAATTTTCTCGGTACGGGTGGTGCCTTGTGGTCTTCTTGCGTTTTGTATGCTAATTTCTTGTTATTTTAAGCAAATTGTCTACTTTTTTTTTACTGATTAGGGTATTATCTACTGAGCGATTAAAAAACTTACACAAAGATATTCTCCAACAAAACCAACGTAACCAGAATCTCGAAAATGAGAAAACAACGAAAAAACAAGAACATTACGAGGTAAAACTGTGTGTTTTGCGATTGTTTTAAAGCGGACTCCGCAACAAGGACGCTCTCTTTGTTCTTTTTTTGTTCTTTCATTTTCTTTGATCGTTCCGACAAAATTTTTACAGGAACACAGTTTGGCCTCGTAACGAAAAACACTTCAAAAAATAATATCAACGGTTACTTTTTTTGAAGTGTTTTTCTTGTGTTTTTTAGTTTTTTTTCACCTTTTCGAGTTTTTTGTTTTGTTGGTTTGCTCGAGATTATCTTTTTGTAAGTTTTTGAAAATTTTATGGTGAATATTTTTTGTTCGTCAGCTCCTCTACAATTCCGTTTCATTTTTTATGTTCCTCCTGTCATTCTGTCTGATTAGTGTTTCTCCCTTGACTAATTGCAAGACAATTTGAGGCGCTCTCAGTCACGATACGATTAAAGATTTTGAGAAGGTAATACAAGTTTTTAATCAGTGGTGCCATCATAATAACCTGCTGCAACGTGTTCAAGTGAGAGCTGAAAGAAACTTTTGTTTCAATTTAAGTTTTCAATCTTCTATCTAGGTTGCTCTTTTGCCAAGGTGTCACTAAATCATCTTTTAATCTTGATTCTACCAATTTCAATTTGTAAAATTGAACTGCTTCAGATTCAGCGGAGATAGAAGGGATCGAACCTATTTTCAATTTCTCGAATTTGCAACGACAAATTTTCAACGACAAGTTTGTTACCATATTTGACTGCTTATGCGATGAGCGCTCTTTGAAAGAGCCGCGAAATCAACTAAGTTTAATCTTTCAAGTCTCTGTGAACGGATTCATTGGAGACGTCAAAAGATCGTGGGAGTTAATTCGCCGAAAATGGAAATGCCAGTTCCTAAACGATTCCGGAAAAAATGAAACGTCTTCTGTGGAGTATATTGCTGGCCGACAAGTTGAGCGCCCATATTTAAACACTATGAGCTATTCGCACGGAACTTTGATATGTTATTTGGAATCTAAAATTCGAAGGTGCCCTGAAAGGGCGTCTTTGCTACTTGGAGAACAATATCCTATTACCAACAGTTTCAAGGGATCAATTTAACTTGACACGTTTCTCAAACTGGTAATCCAGATAACAAAAAAATCATAATAAACAGGCATGCCTAGCTCAACATGTTGCTAAGTCATTTTCCAACAAATAGAATTAGATGGAACCTAAAGTTTGACTTTCCGAAGTTTAAACAAAGAGTGACATTCGGATGGACAATTGAATAATTGCCAAAACCAATGGAGTTTTTGATGTGGGACAACAAATTTTCAAATTCCTTAAATATTAGCAAAAATTATGTCTGATATTTAACAACGTAAAATTGATTGAAGAAACTCTGACAAGTATTCTAGCCCTTTTATACCGACTTCTATTCATAACATCAAGCCGTCGATTGTTGCAGCTTGCCACACACAAAGACTACAACGGCATGCCCTGATACTTTTAAAATTCGTTCACCATGCAGATCGTGACTTCATCTGGCGGAGATGCAATTGGCTCAAGAGCATGGTTAAGCGTATTGGTCAACCTACTGTGATAGAGGATTGTTTTTTTTTTCCAAAATTCAGTCTTTAAAGCGGAAGCGAAAAGATTAGATATCTTAACTTATACACGAAAAAGAAGAAATGTTTCCTTTACAGCTGGAACATACACGCAAGAAATATTTTTTGAATTTTTGTCTGGACTCGTAAGCCCAATACGATTAAATTGCCTTGTACCAAAAAAAATTAAAGCGTTATTTATCGCCAGTCAAAAAAAGTGATCCTTGTAATCAATTAAGTGATACTTGTTTCTCGAAAAAATAAATTGTTAAAAATGCAAATCCAGTATAAGCGCTTTTCCTAAAGAGCTTTTCAAGCAAACGTTGTTCTTTTTTATATAAAAGATTCAAAACGGAGTAGAATAATTTTGTTCCTGACTTTCGATACGAAAGTAACAGAATATTTGTGCTCGGGGTGGGTTTTTGTTTTTTTTCTTTGGACGAATTTCGACTTTTTAACTAGCCCTTTTTAACTGTTTTTCAATCATTCGAAAGGTATGGTTGTCCTGAGCTCAAGTTTGAAAAAAAATTTCAATTGTGATTATTTTTCGTAAAGTAACGGGGGTTCAAATAATGCCATTTTGGCCAATTTAGGACAATTAACGCGCGATAAAATTCGCGATATTAACGCGTAAGCGGAGAGTTAATCCGTCCTAGAAATCGTTCCAAATTGGTTGAAAGAAGCTTATTTGCATAATTGATTTGTTACGAGGAGCGAAACTTATCCTTTTGTACTTATATGGCGGTTGGTTTTCATTAAAAAATTCAAATTTTAGAAAAAAAAAATTTTCTTTTCTTTTTTACATTTAACTTTTTTTATGTTGTTACTGCTCTCCATAGACCTTAAAAGACAGTCGGAACATTCAGGGCTTCGGCCTGATACGAGCAGTCTTGTTTTTATTTGTTATTGTCTGGAGTAAATTATTTGAACAAGCAGTTTACAACAGCATGTATTCAAACCATGAAAAATGATCTTTCATTTTGAAAAACGCTATGGCTTCCGTATTAAACTCAGTACAGTTGATGAATCAGTAGAACTAACTGACGGAATAAGGTAAATATCTTCGATGAAAATTTGGAGCTTTGATTTTTTTTCACCAGGCAAAAAGGCCTTGGGTTTTATTAACCACGATAATTATTAAATAGCAAGTTCGAAAAAATTGGGCATCGCAGTTAGTATCTGAATTGAATCAAATTGTACTTCGGCAACAGCCTTCAGTGGGCAGATACAGGTTGCAGCTAATTTTTATTGTCACAACTTGAAGATTTTTATTTTTCTACAAACAAACATTCTTTTCATTTATCTAAAATAGTTCAATTGAATGTAAAGTTTAGTGATACCAAAGTAATTTTTAAATAAGACGCTATCAAAAATAAGTCAAAAATAAGTCTTTCAGAATCAATGTCAATATTTTTTCGGAAAATTTCATTACTAAATCTTCATAAGAAAAATAGATTTTCATAAGCTCTTCAAATTTGTCGTGTGCATTTATTTATAATTCATTTTTTTTTTAACGAGTACCTAAACGCTAATCGTTTCTCCCTGTGAGTTAGGATTAATCTGGAAACGTTCAGTTCTCCAGCTCCAGCTTAGTTTTCGCGAAATTGCGATTGTTTTCAAACTTTTTTCGCAGTATATCCGACAAAAAAACTTAGATGAAAATTTTAAAAAATCTCAATCTTCAAAAATTTTTCTGTTGTATCTAATTTTCCACTTCACAAGGAACGTAATATTTCGTATTCTGTAAAACACATAATGTAGTGCTCTCTCATCTTGTTATCTTAGAACTCTGATGTTAGACTGTTAATAGGGTATTTTTTGGAGAGCAAAAAAGAAAAAAATTTGATGACTATTCAAAGTATAGCGGCAGACATTTGGTGGATCCGAAGATACCTCTGTATGATCTTTCCAAGTCACGGAAATTGGTTATATTTAAGTTTTAAAATTATGACAAATATTTAGTTGGAGAAAAAAAAATATTTTTTCTCTCTTGACTGCTACTTCATTGAAAACTCAAAAATTTTGGTGCTTTAAGACAACATATCACTATTGAAAAAAAGTTATTCAAAACAGAGCTGAAGAAGATGTAGAAGTTAATTTGGTCACTTGAAGGTAACGAGACAAGCTCGAGGATCGCGGGGTAAAAAAGGAGTTGCTATTTGTACTCACGCCCCTTTATCAATACCAAACTCAGATTTTCTAACCTGGCATCGCTTTGTGGAATGGATGGAGTATCAGATTATGATTGGAATAGATGTGATTATTATGCCTTATCCTATGAAAACAAGCCTCGTTCCAGTTCCTGATGAAATAGACAGAGCACTGAACTATTACGTCAATAAAGGTCATCTTCGCCTGATGGATCTGCCTTACTACAGGTCGAGAGCGCTTCCAACTCAATTAAACATATTCATTTTTCAATTTTAATGGAAGGTCATTGGTTTGAAAAGCCAACCCATAACTTTTAACTCCAATTAAACTCATTGTTGATTGATATCATAATCAAGGGTGGATCTGGGTTTTCTCGAGGGGGGATTTAGAAAAAATGTTCAAAAACTTTGTCGCTCTTTTTTTAGGTCGACCAAATTGATTTTCCATGCTCTCCCAAATCCCTAAAAACATCCTCTTTTGACAAAAGTTTTTGCGTCGCATGCTTTTTTTTATGAAAAAACGGGCCAAAAAATGCATATTTTTGCTCTCTTCCCTCAAAATATTGGCGCCCTTACAAAATTTTTAGGTTAGGTCAGCCAAATCTGGATATCCCAAAACAGTACCAAAAGGGGGACCCTTTCGGTGGTGCGAGGTTCTAATCCCTGAGGTGGGGGCACCCCTTTCTGAATCCGCCTTAGATGATAATACTTTTGATAAAACTGGCTTGCTTTTGAGCAGGCGGAAAGTCTCGCCAGACTCAAAGAAATCAACGGCGTTGGAATTATGAAACTTTTCGAGTAATGCCAGACTTTCCCAGTCTCAAAAAAATACGTGAAAAAATTTTAACCATTTTTTTGGCAAAGTTTTTCGCATTGCGAGATTATTTTTGACAGATCTGGGGGCAAAATCATGTTTTTTTTTGTACTTTTTTTTTCAAATCTTTTGATCAAAAAATTATTTTTATCGGCGCGCGATTCCTAAAAAATGATTTTTATCGGCGCGCAGTATGGTACGAATGAGCGACTGGAAAAATTTGGCTATCACTAAGGGAGATGGGGGGTCTTATAGGCAGACGGATTCATTCATTATCATTCAATATTATGCTCTCAATATAATGAACATCATTCAATATTATGAATCAATATTTTGTAGAGGCAACAGTTTTTCTCGATATGTCCAACACAACTTTTTTCGCTGCTTCAGCTTTGTATAAATAGATCATTTATATTAGAAAGGTGATAATGAATATGATCAAAACGTGAAATATGTTTAATTGCGCTGATCAGAGAAGGACATTCTGGTATCACTCAGGTAAAAAAAAAATATGTTTCATATACTCTGAGAGTTTATCCATACAATAGCCCCCTTTTCAAAGTAACTTGTTCAAAATTCACATATGCTTAACCGCTGAATGTTAGTTGTTTATAAGGTAATTCGTTACTTGGTACCAAAAGGGAGATAATAAAAGAGATCCCTATTAGCCATTGACGCTGAAAAAAAGGAAAAAAGAGAGTGACCACTTGCACTGGCCAACTTGAGATTGGAATCGATTTAAATTGATTTTTCTACAGATAATATAGTGAATGAAAATCTATTTACGATAGCACTTTAGATACTGTCATATATAGTATCTAATCATATATTACGTGTTGGCGCCATTGGTTAAGCTATGTGTCTGGTGCGGCTACTAATTAATTAATACCTGCCAACCTTAAGTTTAGTCTGCGATGTTTGGATTCATTGTTGTTAACCGTTAAAGAATAAACGAGTCAATCTTAATTCAGTGAATTAAAGATATTGAATCTGCATTTTTCACATGGCGCAGCAAGCAGGACAAAGCGCGGGATCAGGGAAAAATCCACTGGGAATTACAGCATTTTGGCCGAGTAAATGTACGGAAGCACCAATGTTGTGGGAGCATTGGATTACACGATTCACCTGGGGTGTAATAGCAAAACATTCATTTAATCCGACGGCATTTTATTTTGCTGATACGCTCACTGAGGCGCAAATTACCGGTCTGCCAGAGGAGGTGAATGGGAAAAATCGAGTGGAAGCAGAGCAGACACTAATTTCTAACCTCTATTTGTGTTTGGGGGAACGTGGACAGGACGAATTACATAACCGGAATCCCCATCTGGACCTGGCGACTACCCGATATCCACGGGTTTTGGATGAATTTGAGAGTGTTTTCCGCAAGGAAAGAAACGAAACATTCGAGACGTATCAGCTACTATCTCGGAAACAACGTGACGGGGAAACGCTAGAAGAATTTCACTCCGTTTTGAGTGGACTAGCCGCTAGATGCTCATTGGGAACATTGGAACGACGGGTGTTACGTGATGTATTCATAGTAAATATGTCCAACAAGGAAGCCCAAACGGAGCTATGCCGTTCAACTAAGACACCAGATGAGGTCTACCGGATTGCTTTGTCATATGAACGGGGGGACAAATACGCAAAGTCGTATAAAGTATCCGGTGGGGGACTTACTGCGGCACCAGCGGGTTCACTACAAATTAAAGCGGAGCCTATAAGCGCAATTAGAGGAGGGTACCGTCGTCCATTCCAAAGAGGCGGACGTGGATTTGGCAGGGCGGCACAAGGGGCCGCGGAGGAGCAGCAGATCGCAAGTGCTACAATTGCGACCAGAGTGGTTTTACCCCGGACCACATTCCAAAGTGCCCAGCAAGAAAGGTAACCTGCAACTTTTGCAAGAAAATGGGACACTATGAGCGAACTTGTAGAGGACGTCGATCGGCGAATAGGGGTCGCGTAGGCATGATAAATGAGGATGACACCAATGGCGGGACTACCCAAGATTATCCGGAGGAGAGTGCATCTAATTACGGAAGTTCTGTCGGATGGGTGACTGATTCAAAGACACCGGCACATGGATGGGATTCGGATAGTTCGACGGAGTATGTGGTTATGTCAATTCGGCGGAAGGAGGAAACGGAATTAAAAGTCGCGGGGGCCAAACTAGCCTTAAGAATCAACGGCAAAGCAACTCAAGCCTGGATTGACAGTGGTTCGCCAATATCCATCTTCACTATTGGGGAACTAAAACGTACCCTGGGGACAGCCAACGTACAATTGAAACCGCTGAATCCACAAGACGACCAATTCCGCGATTACGGAAACAATCCGTTAAAATTTCTGGGAAAGATGCAAGTCACGCTTCATTCCAATGGATGGACTTGTTCGTCGGATATCAACGTCATCGGAGGGTGCCGACCGTCTATTATTGGCAGGGATTTAATGCCCTCACTAGGACTGATGCTGGTACAAGCACCACCGACAGAGGGGGTGAAAAGCATACATACCACGGAAGGAACTGTGGCGATGGACAATGACCTGGATGAGTGGCAGACACATTTCTGTAAGCAATTTCAACATCTTTTTCACAGGGTAGGGCGCATTCGAAATTATAGGGTGCAGGCAGATTTCTTCAAAAACCTAACTCCGATTCAACAAAAGGGTAGGCGAGTACCTATAACATTACAGGAAAAAGTCGATAAGGAGATTGAAAAACTGTTGGGACAGGGTCATATCCAAAAGTTGGAAGAATGTTCAGACAAATATTTTGTTTCACCTATTGTCATCACCGTGAAAAAGGACGGTTCTGTAAAACTTGCACTGGAATCTAGAGAACTAAACAAACAAGTGCATAAGAATAAATACCAAATGCCCAATATTGAAGAACTAATGGACATCGTAGGGCAAACTATCAGCGAACGCAAACAGGGGGATGTGTTTTTTACAACGATGGACCTCACGTACGCATACGGGCAACTTCCTTTAAATGAAAACACTAGTAAACATTGCAATTTTTCGTTGGTGGGAGGCCGTTCTACCGGTACATATCGATTCAAAACAGGATTCTACGGATTGACAACCATGCCGGCGGAATTTCAACGGGTCATGGATGCCATTCTGGCTGAATTTCCGTGCGCGCATGCTTTCATTGATGATATATTAGTAATTTCGAAAGGTACCAAGATCGAACATATCGCTTTAGTGGAGAAGATTTTAACGAAACTCGATAAAGAAAATATGGCTTTGAAGCTAGAAAAATGTCAATTTGCGAAAAATACTTGCGAGTGGTTAGGCCACCGGATTACGAAATCAGGGATTACACCAATGGTGCGGAAAACAGATCCAATTGACAAATTAACCGCCCCGAAAACGCTCTCCCAGTTGAAATCGTTCATGGGGTCAATCCATAGTCTTCACAAATACTTACCGGCGTTAGCGGAAACTTCGGCGCCTCTACGTCCACTTCTAAATAAGAAGAACGAATTCCTCTGGACAACTGACTGCCAAACAGCGTTCGAATCGATTAAGAAACAGGTCGCGAACATTGTCGAACTTAAGCATTTCGACGTACATAAGGATATACGTATCGTGTGCGACGCAAGCCATAACGGTTTGGGGGCGGTACTCGAACAACTAGGCGCCGAGGGTTGGCGACCAATATCATTTGCGTCCCGGTTTTTAAATGCGGCCGAAAAGAAATATTCGACGAATGAGCTAGAAATGCTGGCCGTAGTTTGGGGCTCCGAATACTTCAGAAATTATATTTTCGGGCGGAAATTTACTGTGGTGACAGATCATAAGGCTTTGCTATCTTTATTGAATGGGAACAATAAGAAAAACAAAACTATGTTCAGTCGATTAACTCGCTGGATTGATAGAATTATCCCCTTTGATTTTGTCATTGAACACATGCCTGGGGCTAAAATTGGCCTGGCGGATTACCTTTCAAGGCATCCGGTGGGGGAAGCCACGAAAGTTAGTCTTTATGATAACACTTTCACAGTGGCAAAATTGAAATCAATTACCAATTCACTCGGATATATTGATACCAATAAAGGGATCATCAAAGCATCAAAGGAATCAATTGTTTCAGCTAAAGATATTCAAGTTGGAAACGATAAAGTTAACATTCCACCGGAAGAGGGCGTCAAAACGCGTGACCGTCGGTTGACCAATCAGAAGCCACTAAAACGAATAGCTGAGTGTAATGACCGGGAAAGCGCAAAAGTAGTAAAGTCAATCACCGAATGTAAACTACGTGAGTCTGATATCAATTCCACAGTAAACAGTAGTCCTCCATTTAACAAAACAAGTTATCGATCTAACAAAAACATATCTACAATGACATCACTTAATTTGAAGAAATTAAATAAATTACTGTTGAAACATCCAGAAATAACGAGCGGCAGTAGCAGCGAGGTGGAGATTGTGGATGCACGATTGCAGGCGGAGACGCATCACACCAGGGACATTCGATGCAACACAGTCATCTCCATTCCTTCGGCATTCGGAGGTGAACTCTTTCCGGCGGCATACCCAGCAGGAGGAAACGTCATCATGTCAGTAATCCCCCGGGACTGCAAGATAGTCCGCAAAAGCAGTGCACTGCCGGAGCTATTTAACCTGAAACTCGTGGAAGCGAACTATAAAGGGGACCCCCAGATGCGCGCAATAAAAGAACTGGTGGAGAGTAAGGACCCGGATTTGGAAAAGAAGGTCAGAGCAATGGGTGCCTACCTCGGACAGCACACACATGATTTCCACGTGCGGGAAAATTGTCTGTGGATGGACGAACGACTCGTCATCCCCATACCACTCAGGAAGGCTGTGGTTAATCGGATACATGCGTTTCACCATGGGCGCTCGAGTATGTTCGACGCTGCGAGGGATGTCTGGTTCCCCTATCTCCACCGGAGTTTAGTCGCAGCTGCGGATGGATGCAAGGAATGCACCGATGCAGGTAAAAGCCTTAAACCATTATGCGCCAAAGGTGATGTTGGGAAGATCTATGAACCACGGGAGCCAAACGAATGCCTACAGCTTGATTTTTGGGGTCCAATTAGATACTTAAATGAATCAAGTAAATATGTCTTGGTAGCGGTTGACCGATTCTCACGTTGGCCCTCTGCAATGATCTGCGGAAATAATAAAAGCGACAAGGTCCTTAAGTTCATTAAACAATACATATCTCAACATGGTGTCCCTAGGAAAATTTTTATGGATCAAGGTACAAGTTTCACATCGAATGCAGTTAAATCATTTTGCAATTCCGAAGGAATTGAAATAATTTATTCACCCGTGAATGATCATCGCGCCACCGGGTGTGTCGAACGTACCATTGGCAGTCTGAAAAACTTTGTCTTAACTTACGCTAAAGAAAAAGATAATGGAAACTTAGAATCAATGATAGAACGAGCCTTGAGTGCTCTAAGATTTGCCCCAAATGCTACTCTCAAAATATCGCCGTTTGAAGCTCATCACGGCAGAGAAGCCAATACGGTACTGCGAAATCTTACGAAAAAGCCAACCCTGCAAAACCTAAACTGGGCCAGAGTGTTGAAACAAAAATCTGCCTATTTAGATTCTACTGACCCCAGAGCTCCGAGGAACATCCAACCCATGGCAACGGATTGGGAAGAACGATCCGACGTGGAGTTTGATGTCGATCATATGAATCACCCTAGGCGACTGACACAAAATCAACTAGTTTCGGCGGCGGATGGAACACCAATGGCTGACGGGGACCGGAAACAGGCTTGTGGGGGAAAGTCTAAACAGCCAAGTAAACGGACCGAACTGTTGTTCCAACGCCTCAAAGATAGCAATAAAAGGAAAAGTGGGGTTGCCGAGAAAGTCATCAAATCGAACGCGCCAACTACCGCGAGTAAGCTAACACTACCACTGCCAGCTATGAGTGCATTGCAACGTCGGGCGGAACTGAAGCGGGCAGCGAACGAACAGGCGGCGGGGACGAGCACACAGAGTAAAGCAAGCGCACAGAGTAAGGCTGATAACAGAATGCGAGAATTATCACCAGCGGAGGAGGACGATTCGGATTCGGAGTACGAGCCAATAACAATTTCCAAACACGCAGGGAACTCAACAATAGCACCAGGGCGAGATGTGGAAGGAAATGAACCAAAGGTGAATAACGATGTGGAAGACGGAATTGGAAGACCAAACTTATCCGAAGGAAGCGGAGCTGGAAAATCCCAGGGGGTGGACACGGAGGTCCAGACTATGAGCAACGAGCAAGGGGGGAGTGCCCCAAATTTGAGTAACGAAGGACGAGGGGGGAAACATTCTAAAAAGAAAGGGGAACGAGTACGACGCTTACGTCTCGTATCATACTCTAGTCAAGAATCAGAAGATGGAACAGGATCACGGAAAAGTACCAGGAAGCGGACGGCGGTATCTAAATTCGGCGGGGTTATGATAGATAGTATATTGAAAGCGAGAACATCCAAAGGAGAGGAAGACAGAGAGCGGGACACTAATTGAGCAGGAAGGCACATTTGAAAGAGGGAGTGAAAAAGGAAACTCAAGAAACTTGTTAAACTAAAACTCATGCCCAGGGAGAGGGTGGACTACTGCTGGTCTAAAACTCAAACATTTCCGTTGGATAATTTTAAAACAGTTGTTTGAAAATTGATTGTTGAGGGAATGTCATATATAGTATCTAATCATATATTACGTGTTGGCGCCATTGGTTAAGCTATGTGTCTGGTGCGGCTACTAATTAATTAATACCTGCCAACCTTAAGTTTAGTCTGCGATGTTTGGTTTCATTGTTGTTAACCGTTAAAGAATAAACGAGTCAATCTTAATTCAGTGAATTAAAGATATTGAATCTGCATTTTTCACAATACGTAAATCGATTTGGAATGAATTAAAAGGATTTTCGCAAGGCAGTGAAATCCATCAAAATCTAACAAAAATGATGTGATGTAACCACTGTTTTTTTCGCAATTAAAGCAAACATTCCTACTCCAGAAAAATTTCCATCAAGCTGCCGAGAGCAAGTCACTCGAGGAGAGTTTTTTATCGCAAACTATTGTAATTAAGAGAATCTTTTTTGATTATTTCAAATCTAAGGGCTTCCGCGGTATGAAAAGTAAAATTTTGCAAAATTTTTCCTAAAATTTTTCTCTTTTTCAACGTTCTAGGCGCAGTTATCTGAGACAAACGACTTATAAATGAAAAACTCAATACAGAGAATTTTTTTTTGATGCAGAAAGTTTTCAAATTAGTTATATTCAGAATTTTTTTCAGGTCATGCGTCAACACGAAAGTCAAATGAAAATAAACCCAATAAATTTATTTCCAATTTTCTCTATTCTTTCATAACCAAATTTTTGTCAATTATTGTAGGCATTTGCTATATTATGCTTAGAAAATTGATAGCCATCTATTTCTTGTCAGTAAGGACAGGACCACGTTAAAGTGATTCTGCTGATTTTATTTTCATAATTTACAGAATAGTAAGAATAGCTCAAATTATAAGATTTTTTTAAGGAATCAAAAGTTATTTACCGGATAATGGATTGGTCAAAAGTGTGGCATATTACACACTGCTATCTCAAGCACGCTCTGGAGTTCGAATATATTCTGGCTCTTGACCTGGATGAGGTACCTGGATTTGACGCGGATCGACCGCCCAACATTTCAGAAGCCATATCCTCAATGAAAGCTGCTCTGGGAAGTTCAGGTTATTATTTTCAAATTAGGCTTTAGCATTTGTCAATTTAATCGATTCATATGATTCCATATTATGGAAAAAGAGAACATTTCCATTAAAAAAAATTGTATGAAAATGGCACGATAAGCATTTCCCACACTAATAAACTGTAATATAAGCATTTTTCAGAAAACTAACATTATTAACGTTTTGAGTTTGGCCTTATAATGTTGTTTTTTTTAAAAAAAAAATCTCACGGATAAAATGAAATTGGAGATTCGTCATCTGATTAATTTGATGAAAAAACCAGAGATATATAAAAAAAAGTTGTAACTATTTGTTTATGGATGAAGCTTCTACTTCAAAAAACTCCGGGTAGTTTTTTGGTTATATTACCATATGATATTTTAAAAATCATATTGATTGTGGCTTTTGGTTCTTTCGTTCGAAAAATTTAGACGGCCTGCTTTAGAGAAATAGATTAAAATGCAGCATGCAAAGTTTAGGTTTAGCAGTTTGTTTGAGCATCAAAGGTTATTTTGCAACTAAAATTTTTTTCTTCTCATTTTTGGAGTGCCCTTCAATTGGAAAAGAATTGTCAGAAAATCTTATTATTTAAAAAAGTGGCTTTATGAGCCTGTTTTTCACGCCATTCAATATCATACTTTGGACGACCAAAGTGCTCTTATTAAAAAAAAAACAAATGATGTTAATTTGATGCAAATGTTATTGATTTAATGGCTTCTGCGAAAACTTTTTCTGGAAAAAAGTTTTCTTTCGTTTTTCATATGCTGAAATTGTGTCCTACGGGTTTTATTATAAAGTAAACGTTTCGAAGGAATGTAAATATTTTTGTATTTTGTTTAACTGCGGGCTTTTCAAGAAAAACATAGGATGATTTCTATTCTATTGTTTACCTTCGAAACGTTTGCTTTTTGTGTTTGGAAAAACAATATATAGAAGACGTACATAATGAAAAACTCAGCAAAGCTAGATGAAAATTGATAATTGAAAACAAAAATGGCTCAGAAAACGTTTTTCAACCTTTATGTAATTTGTGAGGCCCTGGTTTATTTGCAATTTTGACCTGTCCATGAACAAAGTTCCGACACGTTTTTTTTTGCGGTGAGGGTAGGTATTATCTCTTACAAACACCTTTGTTACTGGTGGTGAGGGGCTACGTTCCTTACATAGCCTTTGTTTGAACTTTTGTTGCAAGCTCCAATTTATATGAACATGTTTAACACACCAGTTTTAAGTCACTTGTTTACAATTGTTTACACTGAAAAGCAAGAGTTAACGATAAGATTATTGTTGATGATCTCGATATTTAATTTTTGTGGGATTTCATAACACATGGAGATGGCTTGAAATGAATCAAAAGTTACAATTGATGTTTACTTTAAAAAGTGAATGTGTATAGATTCACACAGAAAAAAAGTATATCTTTGAATCCAGTGTTTACATTTTGGGCTAGTTTTTTTTTCAAAATTGTCAGTATTCGATCTTTCGGAAGTTTGAAAGAGCTTGAGGGCGATTTAGCATTTTATTTGATATTCGATCTTTCGGAAGTTTGAAAGAGCTTGAGGGCGATTTAGCATTTTATTTGAAACTGTTAAGTTGAGAATGCTCAAAATGATCAATTTTTACTGTTTCTTCAGCTAGCTATTTGTTTTAACTGTTTGTTGGTAACACTTCATCAATTCTATGTTCTGGGATAAAAAATTTGCAATTTCCTTTAAATATTTTAACTGATGAAATTCATCATTGGGTGAGGTTTTTTCCATACTGGGAAATTGCTTGAAGCATCTCTCTTTTATAAAGTTTTTATTCAGACGAAAATTTTATTTAACAATTTTTATCTTGTAAGACGAAAGGTGTCTTTGACAATCGGTATTTATAACCTTTTATATCGGATTTTTTTAAATTCTTTCCAACTTTTCAATCCAAAATTGTCTGAAACGACACAGAAGACACTCAATGTTGTAGAGCTGCGTTTACATATTTTTGGGAAGACATAAATACTTGTTCGAACATTTGAAAAAAATGGAGAAATTTGATATTCGGGTGTGTGTTAGTTTTTCACGCCTAATCAGATACCACAAATAATCATTGGAAAGGATCGAGTTATTTATCGAGTATTTTTAAAGTAGTTTTTTCAGTCGCGAGTGTTGAGAAAAACCGGAAGTTTTTGATTTTCGGTCTAACTTCGAGCTAAAGATTTGTCAAAATATAGAGTTTGCAGGCTTAAAATAGCTTGTTTCAGCTTCATTTAAGCCGCAAAAAACTTGGTTTTACTCAAGTAAATTTAGTTTTTTCATTTTAGGCGCTTTTTGGAATCAAAATTATCAAAAAATCGGGGAAAAAAACAGAAGTTTTTTTTGATTATTTCATAAATTTTTTTAACGTTTTTTTTTTGGTTTTCTAGTCATTTTTCTACACAAAATGATTTAAAATTGGTTTTTTTTTGGCTATGACAATTGATTATATCTAACTTGTTTTTGTTTCGTTCAGTCCTTTTGTTACACCACTCAGAAAAAAAACGAAACTAATTTGAACAATGAAGTTGTATTCGTTCACACAGTAACCGGCTATTCACACAGTAACCGGCTATCGTGGTTATGTTTTTTTTTGTTTGTTTGAAATTTTCGTTGGTTTAATGGTGACCACTTGAAGCGGAGCTATGATAGTTTTTAAACAAATCATTTCTTCTACGACCATTGAAAACGAAGGTGAACTTTGCATTCGGGTGTTTTGATTTTTCTTTTTTTGTTTTCCACAAAAAATGAGGTTTCTCATATAATCATAGGAATGGTTCGAGTGGTATATCATGTTAGTACCCTCTCGGTAGTGATTCAAACTGCAATAAAAAATAAAAAAATTGTCTCAGTGCTGAGAAAAGCCGGTTTCAATTTTTTGATTTTTTTGTCATAGTGGTAAGGCGTTCACTTTGAAATCGTCAGATCGTGTTTTCGATCCCACGCCATAGTATCCCCTACAATAGGGATACCACGTGAAAATTCTAGACGCAAAAAACGGCCCTGAGTCGCAATAAAAGAGCTTTGCTCAACAAAATAACACAGTCTGGAATATGGGAGATAATACAAATGGACTAACCTGGACAGAACAGTTAAGGCCAAAAGATAGCTGTTCTGCGATTCACAGGAACCACATTTTTATTTTTGCAAGTAAAGTGATCGGAATACATTCTTTCTTTTAAAAAATTTATCATTTAGGCTTCGAAAAGTTGATTGTTTTTTGCGAAAAAGCTAAAAAAAAATCTTGCAAAATTTTTTAAATAAATTTCAGATTTTTTTTCATTTTTTGTTTGTTATTCGATTTTTTAAGACAGCTGCTGACCTCGATTATGCCAATTTCATAAACTTTCTAAGCGTTTATATAGTTCTCTCATCACACCAAACACAATTTTTGTTTGTAGTTTTTTAGAATGTTGTCGTCAGAGGACATTCTGTGCTTCTTGGATAGCATTCGGCTATCCTTGTTTAACATGGGGATCGGCCTCCTAGCATGCGTACCTTTTAGCTTGCGGGTATTAGCGCAAACAGAAGTGAATTCGTTCCTAAAACTAAAACTCACACTGATGCTTGCCGCATCAGACAGAGTAATTTTTTTTGATTGCGCTTGCAAAGCGGCACGCATGCAAGTCGCTATAGCCCCGTTTATGCATTGGTGCTCCTTCTCGTAGACGAATTTATTTTATATAAAATTGCCAATCAATTTAACTTTATAACTTATCATCAAAGTGTTGTTATGTGCAGGAGCTCAGAAAAGTTTCCAACTCAGAGACAGACGAATGATTGTGTCCTCAGTGTGTACAGAATATTTGAAGCTGGACACATCCTGGCAAAACGGCACCGTCGATGAACATTTTGCCATTCTCAATTCCAGATATACATATGCTAAGCGTAAGTTACTGTTCATTCTTATATGCTGATGACTAGCAAAAGTGAGTCAAATTTAGTTCAAATTAAGTTTTAATTATAGTCAAATTAAGCCGAAATTCGGAAATTTTACAATTCTTACGGATAGGGGCGGGATCTAGGATTTTCTCGAGGGCCGGCGGATTTTCAAAAATTGATTTTCCGAGGTCTCCCAAAGCATTAAAAAGACTGCAGGCAAAATTTTAAAGAAGGCATTTTAAGGCGCATTTTGGAAAAATTTGACCAAAAAATCGCGCTTTTTCGGCGCGCGCTACCTCCCCCACCCCCCCCCTCAAATTTTGTATATATTGGCGCCGCCAAATAAAGGTCCATCACCACAAATGGATAGCTCAAAGTAGTTCAAAGGGGGAACCTTTGGGTCGGCAGAGGTTCGAATCCGTGAGAGGGAGGGGGGGGGGGGGCTAAATCGGCCTCTGCTTACGGATTTTAGTTTTTTTGTTAGTTCTTCCTTTTTTTTATCTGTAATAGAGAAACCAAAAGTAAATGGCAGCAAAATAAAACGTTTATATGATATAAACGTTTTTTTTGCTGCCATTTACATTTAGTTTCTCCATTACAGAAGAAAAAAGTAGAACTAACAAAAAAAATTAAAATCCGTAAGAGTTGTATAATTTCAGATTTTTGCTAAACTCTTGTAATTAATTGTATTTGCACTCTGGGACCATTGTTGTTAACTTTGGGTCCTTTATTGCCAGAAAAATTGAGTCGATTATTATCCATTTAAAATCAATTATGACGGTTTATAATCGGCGTAAGACTTTCAAACACCAGACTTTCAAACACACTCACAGTTACTTAGTTTTCGCAAAACTATGACCCTTACTCATTTATCAACCCCTCTTCTCTTTTTTAATACTCAAATTGATCACCCCCAGCTCCTAAATTCACCCCCTGCTCCCCCCTCCCCCCCCCACACACACAACTACCCGCCTCGTCCAACCCTAACACTAACTGCCAATGTTAACCCCCACATTTGATTATCTCCCAGACACTTGAGACGCTCGTAAGTTTTGAGCCGGCTTTGTGTCGCGGGGGAGGCTTTGACGTAAATGTGTGTAGGGGGGAGGGGGTGGCGTAATTTTGTGTATGTGTTATGTGTAAATGGTTTGTGGTAGTAGGTAGAAGGTGGTGATAAATGAAAGAAGTAAGAATTCTAGCGATTGATCTAGGATATTTTGGCGAGGGGGGGGTTGATTCTCAAACTAAATTAGAAAACTTAGTGGTCCTCTTCTGTAATTTTTAGGTGCACTAAATCGATTGTCCGAGCTCTTCCAAGTCACAATAAAGAACTTTTTTTGCCGAGTTTTATGTGGGGTTAGAGGACAAGCAGAAAAAAAAACAGTAGAATCCAAAACAAAAACAATTTTTTGCTGCAGTTAAATGTAAAAGTCACTTTAAAGAGTTTGAACGCTCTAGTTTTGAATATGTATCGGATGTTTCGAAACATCTAGGCTCTTGCTTAAAAAGTTATAATCTGTTATATTCTTTTATAATCTAATGTAAATTATTGTAATCCATTATAATCGATTACAAAGGATCAAAATGATTATACTTTTTTGCTGGATTTATAATTGATTATGAAACCATTATAATCAATTCAATCGATTTTAATGGATTTATAATCAATTATAAATCCAGCAAAAAAGTTTATCGCCCAGCCATTTGATCAACCATTGGCGGTTATAAACCAAAACTTTGAAGTTAGGAATTAACTAGAAAACAAGCCCGCATAAATGTTCGATGTAAAAAATCCATTACAAATAGATTTTTATGGTCTGTTTTCATGAAACTCGAAGCTAAGTTAGTTTCGAGTTTTATGAAAACATACCATAAAAACCTATAGTAATGGGTTTTTACATGGAACATTTTTGCGGGCTTATTTTCTGTCTCAATTAATTCCTAACTTCAAAATTTTGGTTCATAACCTCCAATGGTTGATCAAATGGCTGGGCCATGATAAAACATCCAAATAATCGATGAAACTATATCTTCATTTTGAAGACTAAGAAGTTTCTATGGTGCTTTTAAATGATTATTATTGTTGTTTTCTCTTTTTAGCTCGCCATATCGGAAAACAAATAATCAGCACAGACGTATGTGTGCTTTTGTATCAGCACGGCTGTTGTAGTTACCTTCCGAAATCGGAGAAAGAACATTTCAAAGCTCAATATTTTTTCGACTCCAAAAATAAACCAACGGATCTTCGAATTGCTAACAAAAACGGAGTTTATCTGAATCATTACAGGACAGTAAATTGTGCAAAGGACAGACTTGAAACTTGTTGCCTGAAACGCGGGGATAAAATCCAGGAAAATTTTAATCCGAATAACATTCGTCTTCTCGAAAAAAGGATCCGGAGTCTGGCAGCGGAATTGAATTTCACTACAACTTTGCGGTCGGACACACTATGAACTTTAGAAAGCAAACGAATCAATCGTTAAATTCAAATTAAATTTTCGTACACCCAACATAGTAATATATTTCTGAAACTTCTTGAAACGTTATTTTGATAGTTATTACAAAAATCTAACCGATTTGAACTTCGTTAAAAGCTCTTGGTTTTGTCAATTTGTTTCATAAACACACTCATAGTCATTTAAGTCAATAGAATATATTCATTTGTGCCTGCTTGTTGGCCTGCCTTTATTGCTACAGCTTTCGAAATATCTCAATTTATTTTTTGATGTTGGTCATGGGAATTGAGTAGTTATCGAAGGCGAACAGTTGCTGAAAATTTGGAAGAAGGGTCTGATTAAAGCATTCAAAATAGGGCGCTCGAAATCTCGGTAAGACCTTGAGGATCGTCGAAGACTTCTTACGATACTAAGACTGTACAAGATAGGCTCTAAGACTGTTACAAGATATCGGCTTTTTCTGATAAGAACTTGTAAGATACAGAATTTTCTTACAAGAAACTAAAGAAAGAAAATGTTTATTTAGGATACTTATTGAAAATTAAGTTCAAATTTTTTCTTTCGGATTTTTTTTTGTACAAAATTCGTACATTATAATCACTTAAAATTTTTTGAGGAGTAAAATTTAAAAAGAATATATTCCAAAATTGATTTTTATCTGTTTTTACAGTATAAAATAACACATTCAAAAAATTTTTAGCGTTTTTTTAATGGTGAAAAAGTTGCTATCTCAAGAACTTTTCAGATAAAAAAAGTAGAAAGATAGCGGAAATTTCCTACAAATTTTATTAGAAGTTCTTGAATATGGAATTGTTTGTAGGATGGTCATTCAGGGAGAGAGCATCCTGATTGAGGGTTCTGCTCACCATTCAAAAAACATAAAGTTTGGCCTCATAAAGTTTGACGGAAATATCGAAAACGTTCTTATGAGAAAAATGAGTGAACATTAATAAAATTGTGCAAATACCACTGGTAACTATTCTAACTATCTAAGTTAAAATAGAATAAAACAAAGTGTTAAATTAAAACTGACCGATGTCCTAAAAGGGCAACTAGTGACGCGAAGTCCACTGGACTTCGTAGAGTAGACAATAACTGGTACTTGATTAACACATGGAGGTCAAGGTTAAAACATACTAAAATTATAAATCACAACTTTCTCCACTGCACAAAAATTTTCTATCGGCCCACTTCCTTATGTAGCCAAATCACACATATAATCCATTCTCCCCTCACTCCACCAGGGCCAAAAATGAAAACAAAAAGTATCAGCGTTTAGCACCAATAGAATTTACAGAGTTAATACAATTTACAATGATGAAACGAAATGTTATGTACAATTGGGGTTATGTGACATATAAACAAGTTGAACAGACTAAACTACATAACTAACTAACTAAAATGTACAAAATCGTTTAAAATGAGAATTGGTAAAATTACGTAAAATGGGTAACCAATGGAAAAATAAGCTCTATAGAGTTACGCTAAAAGAGTTTTAGAGTTTTCAGAGTTTTAAGACGTGGCGTTAAATGTATCATGGAAACTGTCCGCCTCCTTTCTTACTTCTGTATCTATGACTGAAGATATATCACTCCCGTCATCGTCCTGAATGTCGGGTCTGACTTCTTCCAATGGAGAGGATAGCCCCGCGATCTTTGGTGTCATGGATGAAGGAGTTGGCGAGGAACCTTGCGTAGTTTCCGCCACCAGTGTTGCATTTAGAAGAATGTCCTCGATTGGCGTCAAGTAATCCGATGGGGAGTCTGAGGAAAAGGTCGTCTGTAAATTTTTCGAGCCAGAAAAAGTTATCAGAGGTTCGTTGTCGGAATCCGCGATTTCGGTGGTCTCTGCTCCTAGGGTCACTTGGCCTATGAAGCGCCTGTCTCCATAAAAGTTTTGTGGGCCTGGATTCCTTCTGGGTCGTGGTTCGTTGCTTTTCGGGGTTTCTGTTGTGGGAGTCTCTATGATATTTTCCCGAGAGCTTTCTATCGTAATTGGGTTGTCGCATGTGCCCGATGGAGATGTAGTAATCTTCTGAGTGTTAAGTTCACTCGCTAAGGTACGTCCTGGCTGATCTAAATCACTATCAAAATTATAAGTCGGAGTATTATATACAATTTTTGAGTCCGTACCCAAATAGTCATCGATAACTTTGTCCCAATGGTCTAAATCTAGCGAAGAATCTAATTCAGAATACGCAAATTTTGAACCTTTGAAACTCGGGGTTTTCATTCTCCCCCTTCTCATCGCCTTTTCTCCCGTTGGCTCGAAGCTCGTCGATGGGCCTGCTTCGTTCGAGTCTGGTCTCTTCAATGGTGAATTTCTCTTCCGCTTCCCTGCTAAATTATAACTATTTTTTATCGAGTTCCGAACTGCTGAAAATTTACTGTGAGCCGACGGTTAATTTTTTTAAAAAGCTAAATCGGATTTTCTGAGCACATGTCTTTTGTCTAGTGTAACCGTATGTGTTGTATCCGACAGTGGTTTCCACCAAGGGGTTTAAAATAAGGTTTGCCTTCCCTTCGGTTAACTCTCTTCCTAACCCAGTTACCTCCTTGGCTAAATGGGTTGGATAGTGGGGCTCGTTGAAGGTTTCTGTCAAGTTTGTCAGATGGGTCGCTCTCGTACCCCCTTTTGTCTGCCGCTGTGTTCTCCCGATAGCCGTCTTTAAACGTGTCATTTGCTCCCCAGTCTTGAGCTCTATCCCTTGCCATTATTGACCTCCCTTTATCTAAATTAATCGCGTGTGAGACCAGAGATTTCCAAAAAGTTTTGGGCGATCTATTTAGGTGTTTTGAAAAGGGGGAGCATCCAATGGATGATTTTTTCGTTGAGCGAACATTCCAAATGATTTAATCAATTGCCATGTTTAAAGATGGCTTTGGTTCGTTAAACGACCTTGCCAAGAGTTTTGCTTTAACCGTGTAGATGAGTCCCCGACCGTACATAATTTTAAGTTAATGTTGTTCTTCTCACAGAAGTTTCTAAAATTGTTCGAAATAAAACATGACCCATGGTCGACTCTGATAGACTTCGGAAATCCATGAAAGTGACAGTAATCTGACATAAATGATAAAATCGAAGAAGCTGAAGCGTTGTTCACCACCTTTGCTGACGAAAACTTTGAGAAGTGGTCGATGGATATTTTGAGTTGCCCCAATTTTTTTTCAAAGGACCCGCAAAGTCTAAGTATACTTCTTCCTTTGGTTCAGATAGGATCGGTAAATTCTTCGTATTGCTCGTACCCAAAGTCACTTTTAAATTCTCAACCGCCTTGATACACTGGATACAGTTTTTCCCATGGTAGTAAATCTCTGTGTATAAATGTGGCCACCAGATGTTTCTGCCAGAGATTTCATTCCGAACTGTCCTGTGAGTTTCATGGAGTAGCGAAAAGAATGTCGACCTCAGAGCTGCTGGCACTATCAGTTTGTTGTCGTTGAATAACAATCCTTCTTTCACGTGGATATCTCTTTGAAAGTTTTTAAGGTAAGCTCCAAATCTGTCCAATGGTCTGCCTTCTTCTGCTGCCTTCTTCACATCCTTGAGAATTTTGTCCTCGTCTGTCATGAGTCTAATTGATTTGTTCGAGCAATGTTCGGTGAAGGATAATGGAGACACTGGTAACTTCAGATCTCCCTTGTATTTAGCGAGAAGTTTTTTTTTATGGATATCTGACATTATGTCGCTGTTGAAGTTTAAAGTGATTCCTTTATTTTCCGCCCTAAGGGAAATTTTAACGAATTCACAGACATTAGAAAATCTACAAACAGCTTTTTGTTTTCGGAGTATAGAGACTGGTTAACTGATAAAAGTGACTGCGAAAGAAAAAATAAGTAACTTTTGTCTGAAAAGTGGAAGTAATTAAAATCGAATTTTGAAAGGTTTAATGGGATGCAACCGCTTGTACAGGACTCTGAACGCGAGTGATTGGAATTACAAATTCTAATTGTGTCGTTGACGTAATTAAGATTATTCGAGAAGAACGACCGTTGGATGTATACCGTTAATTCTTTCTTGCCGCCCATTGGATTATTGCAATCAAAGTTACTAATAGTATTTACATCCACTGGATTGTACAATTCGTTCTTTGTACAATTATTCTTTTTACAATAAATATTTACAGAAAGGTTATCTACAATGTTTTCAACTACTGCCACTACAAATTCGTTATAGTATAGTGAGGTTGGGAGGGTTTTTCCTGAAGGTAATCTCGACAATAAATCTGTAAATCATATGTCTTTTCCTGGTATGTGTTTAATCTTGAAGTTAAATGGTAAAAGTCGATTTACCCAACGGGTCTGTCTGCTGTGCATTGTTTTGTTACTTTGATTGGCGTTTAAGGCTGATAACAATGCCTTGTGGTCCGTTACAATTTCAAACTCGGCGCCATACAAGTATTTTTTAAAATGTTCTGTAGCCCAGAGCACTCCCAACAATTCTAATTCGTTTGTAGATTATTTCATTTCATGACTGTTTAAAAAGCGGGAAGCGAATGCTATTGTTAATCAATTTTTCACATCCCATTGTTCTAAAGTGGCTCCCAGGCCGCTGTGTGAAGCGTCTGTTTTTAATCTTGACATCATTTTTATGTCGAAATGATTGTTCTTTGTAATTTTGACGAACTGTTTCTTTAATTCTTTGAAAGCCTTCGTATGGTCGTCGTTCCATTGGTAGACTGATTTTTTTAACTAAAAGTGGTCGTAGCGGAGAACTTAGGGGTGACAGGTTCGGGACGAACTTCATATATTGGTTGATTGAGCCAAAGAATGACCTTAATTCAGATATATTTTTGGGGTTTGGGAGGCTTTTTATAGAATCTGACTTTCCCACCAATAGTTTCACCCCAAGTTGGATTTTTTTAATCCCAGCCACTCTATTTCTTTTTGGAAAGATGCACATTTCTTCCATTTTACTGCCAAGTTCTTGTTGTCCAAGATGTTTAAAGTTTTTGTTAGTATCGCTTTGTGTTCGTTTAAAAATCCTTTTGAGGCTATTAAAATGTCGTCGATAAAACAATTGGTAAAAGAAATGTCTTTCAGTAATGAATCCATCACCCGCTGGAACTCATTTGGCATATCGCCAGGTCCGTAAAACCCCGTTAAAATTCTATAGGTCCCGGTGGTTTTACCACCTACAATACTAAAATTGCATTGTTTGCTAGTGTCTGTGCATAATTGTAATTGACTATACGCATTTTTAGGTCTAAATTGCTAAACCAGACTTCCCCTGAATCTTTGTTGAAA